TGGGACACAAGTTAGGAGGTGGTTGTAAGAGAGCTGGAAGCTTTGGGAAGAGAAAAGCCCAATCCTTTTCCCTTTTCCCTTTTCCCTTTTCCCTTTTCCCTTTTCCCTTTTCCCTTTTCCCTTTTCCCTTTTCCTTCTTTTTTTTTTTTTTTTGATAGAGGCAGGGTGCTGAATATTACAGGACATTCATTACCCATTGTAGCTTGTCATTGCTCCTGTCAGTGAATCACAGAATCACAGAATCACAGAATCATTAAGGTTGGAAAAGACCTTTAAGATCATCAAGTCCAACCATCAACCCAACACCACCATGCCCAATAAACCATATCCTGAAGTGCCGTGTCTACACGTTTTTTGAATACTTCCAGTGATGGTGACTCCACCACCTCCCTGGGTAGCCTGTTCCAATGCTTGACCACTCAAGTTTAGATGAAGGATAGGCCAGAGAAAGTGAGCAATGCAGAATATTGCTGTTACTAAGAAAAGCAAATGCACAGTGCAGTGAAGACATGTCTTTGATCAGCATTTCATACTCTTCACAGAGAGAAGCCTGGGGGCAGTGTTCTTGTGGGCCGTGTTCCTGCAGGCAGTGCTAGGGAGGAGAAGCAGCCATTGTAGAGCTGTGAGATGACCTTCTCTATGAAAAGAGGTCTCCAGCTATTAAGAAGTACTACCTGATATCTGTGGGCTTTCAAGAAGCTGCAGCCATGTGCGAGTCATCTTACTGTGTACATGAGTGAACCCCCTGCTGCTCACTGTGTTGATCCAACAGAGGACTGTGATGCCAAGCTCTTGCAACAGAGCTTGCTGCTTCAAGCTTCTGATCTGAAAGAAATGCACAGTAGAAGAGCATGAATGTTGGCCCTGATGCTCTGTCCTGGCCCACCCCTACCAAGTGGGTTGCAGTGATTCCTTGCAGTTCATTGACCAAGATGGAGGAGATGTGGGAAAATTTGGTATCTTTTCTATGTTCAGTGTGGCAATCAGTTTCCTGTTGCACGCTAGGCTTGAATGAGTTACTGTCCATCATTGCCTGGTGGACTGTGGGAGAGGGCTTTTAGCTTTGAAGTGTATTAGGCACTTCACTGTCTATTCTAGTTGATGTACGTTCTCTTTGAGACACATACCAGCTACGTTCCTAAAGTCCATCTAAACCACTGTAGTTAGACTGCTGGATCTGTTTTGCTAGCTTAAATTGAATGAGCAGAGGCATAATCAAACATGTGGAAAAGATAATCCTGAGTTTGGCTTTATTGCTTGCAATAACTGCTCTTTCAATAACACATTAGAAGTTTTGGCTTGTCCGTATTCACAGTAGAACACAGCCCCAGCCCCAAAGTAATCTTGTATTGACTCAAGTGCAAATAACTTATTCTTATGTTTTGCAGGTTAATAAAGTCCGTATCAAATTTCATGTCTTGTATCAAATAATTCTCCTAAAGAACTTGTTTAAAACACCTACATTTAATATTTATTTATAGAGATACAGTATACCTTATAATGGCTTGATCTGACTAGCAGCTAATCAGATGATAACCAGATTCCTGCTTCTCAATTCACGTGGCCAGGCATTGATGCCATGTGGCACTTGGCCACGGCACATTCGACCTTGGAAAGCAGTGTGGCTCTCTCCCAGAGACACAGATTGTATAATATTATTTATGCGTATCTTTATAACACAATCAAGTTTATCTTTGATGAACTTTCAGTCTCTTAGTGGTATTTTCTGTAATAAGTCTTCTATTTTTAAAATATAAGGAACATTGCTGTTAAACACAATGTCACTTTGTTTATCAGTAAGTATTACTTTTTCTACTCTAGGATATATGCTTTACTTGCTTTTGTGGTTTATATTCAGCTTGAGGCCTTCAGGGACACAGTAATTGTGGGCTCCCCATATCAACTGTAGTGGGAGCATCAGAGAGCAGGTAGTTGAATAAAATCAAGTGCCATGGTATATTTCTCCTTACGAGGAACACAGCCACTCCTAATGCATTTCTTGCATCTCTCCCTTGGTTTTTTCTATCCTTTATGTCAGTTTATGGGCCAAAAAGGCAGACAAACCACTAGCTCTCACTTCATGTGTAACACAGGCCTTGAAATTTTACCCAGTGTCTCTTTTAACTGATGCCATTAACTTTTTTTTAGTTTTTATTAAAGCACAGCTTGAAAAAAGTAATGTGGCCTTTATTTGAAGACCTTGAGAGACAGTCTACCATTTTTATTGGCAAATGGCTAGGACAATCATCCTTATCGTTAAGTATATGATGTCTTATTCTACTCTGAACATGCCTAAATATAACTTGCAGCGGTTGATTCTCACTGTGCCTTTCTCTGCAGGTTACGGTGTCACCAGTACCCTGCATTTTCTGTGGTGTAATTGAGAGATACTGGTTTGGTAAGACCAGAGTAATATCTCAAAGTGTCCCCTGTAAGGCGTCTTCTGACCTTCCTAACTGGTCTGGTCATTTTGCTCTGGATCACCTCCAAGCTTTCAACATCTTAAAAAAACACGTAGGTGCCTGCACAGCCGATGGGTGTTGCAGCTTCAGGCTTTGCTGGGTTTCCGACTTGGTGCAGTCAGCCAGAGGTGACAGTGACTTCTCCAGTGGTCACCAGTGAGGTTCCCACTCTTGGCAGCTTGTCCTTCCTCCCTGGCTGCATGGGAGCCAGCTATCACATACCCACCAATTGTCTGTGTGTATCTTTGAATACAGCAGAAGGTACAAAAAGCTTTCATGAGTCCTGCTCCAGAGTAGCAGCCTGTGGGAGCCAGGGAACTGGTATTGACACCAAGGGTCCCTTGAAATCCCCTTCCCAAGACCCAGGTGGTTTTCCCCTCTGTGTGGGGCTCAGCCTGCTTGTTCGCTGTCTGTGGAGCCACGCAGTAGGCTTGACTCCACAGAGCAATGTAGAAGGTGCACAGACAGAAGACAACCATCAGAACTAAAAATACTTATTTATTGGTGACGCATCAAAAATGAAGAGGAAATGATACAAGCAAAAACTGCTTCCACCAGCAGTAACATTCTGCCCATGGTCACTCTTAGGTGTTTCCACAGGTCAGACAACTGATAGGGATTCATGGATCAAAAGCACTGAGACACCGTGGTGGTCCAGTACCTGAGGATGGCATTACTGAGCATCTTACCTTGTTTGAGTATGTTCAGCTGACCAGGTGACTTGTGTTGAACTGAAGGACTCTCTCTGCTTTAGCTACTGATCTTGCCATTTGCAATTTTTATCAACAATATTTTTTACAGTTGTACCTCCTGATGCAAATATTAAACAGCACAATTCTTGCAGAGAGGCACACACTTTCAGCAGTGATTGCTGCTTCTTTTTGGACAGTGAATTTTTGCCATTTGTCTGTTAGCTAGTAGTTAATCCATATAATGCAAATTATGGTGTACACTTACACTATTATTTTTCTTCAGAATTTACAAATTTCTTCATTTGCTACATCTGCACCAGTGCTTTCATTGACCAAGTGTATTATTTCGTCAAAGAATGAAGTCAGGTTTGTTTCTCACAACTTTTTTTTGTTAAACATACCAAATTATTAATGTTATTTTCATTGTTGAAGCCTTTGTTAGCTAACTTGTAATAACTTCATGCTATCTTACCTATGATTATTACTACGAAACCATTTAACAGTCGTTGGTGTCATCTCACTTTCTCTCTGTGAACACATGCTCTTCCAAGACCTTGGGATTTCTCTGGTATGCCAGGATTTTTAAATACCTAACTCCACTGGGCCAGGTGCCTCCTCAGCCAAATCTTTTGTGATTCTGAGATGCAAATTTTCTTGGCTACTGATCTGAAAATACTTATGCTTAATAGATGCTGTTAAAACCTCCCTTAGTACACAAATTTATTAGGAAGTTATTTACCATCCCCATATAGTATCAATACACAATTCTGTTTCTTTCTGTCTACAAACAACTATCTGCTCTGGTCAAAAAGCCTTCATAAAAAATCTTCTCTATAAACAGTTTTACCTATATCCACCCAGTCAAAGACTAGGCCATTGCTAGCATTTCTTGTTTTTCAATGTATTTTGAAAAAGCTCCTTCCAAGTGCCGTTAGCACTTGCAGCAATCCAGTTTTTCCAGATTATTTTGAACACTCCTTATCACCTTGTATGCTTCATAAATTCTCACTTTTATTGTGTGCCATATACCTCCTTTCCATCGACACCTTCCTTCTGCTTTTTTTCCCCTGTTGGTTATATACAAGATTTCTATGTGTTACCTTCAAATTCCCTGTTAGGCAGGAAAAGTGTTTAATCCTGTCTGTCTTTTTCACAACTACAGAACCACAGATGTTCTCCATCTTGTAAACTTCTAGCAGTGAAATTTCTATTAAAAATTTTATTGTAGCTTTCTCCTGGAGAGTCATATTTTTCTGATTGCTTGATTTGTGATCAGTTTAACCCATAACTTCCTCTGCTTGAGGATTTACCATTTCAAACTACCAATTTTGCCTACATATTTGCCCAACTTCAGTTAAAACACATACATACATACATATCTTACTTAAACACCTGCCTCATAGGCATTAACCAAATGTAGCTATATACATCTACAGATACATCCCTACATACATGTGTAAATGTTGTATACCTCCTTACAACACGTACACATACATACATATACCTGTACACAAACATACATATATGCAGTCATACAAACACTTGTCTATGTACAATTTAACTTTCCCTGAAACTGGAGAAAAGGCGTTTCTAAAAATGTATGCATGTTGCCTGCAATGCAGCATCCCAGCAAAGAGCTGAGGCTATAAATGTTGCTCTCCCAAGATGAATGCTTTTCTGTGAGTCCATCTCTGAACAGTGACTCAGCTCCTCCACCAAGGGCAGCCCTGCCCCTCCCATACTGACGAATAGTTCTGTTAATATTTGCCAGGGCTGGCTTTCCTGAGCAAGATGTATCAAGGGATGGGTGACAAAGGACTGCAAGTGGGTGACACAAGGGTTTTCTCTATTCTGAAGCCCTTAGAAGTTGCTCAGGCTTTGGTTTAGCTAAAAAGGAGAGAGAAAAAAAAACCAACTAAGATGCAGGAAGACCAAAGTGGTGCAAAACATCACCTCATGTTGCCTTCCTTCAGAAATGAGTCTCTAGCTCATCCGCTCCCTACCTCTCCCTCCAGGATCCTGGGATATCCTGACCTCCAGGATATCCTCTCCTGAATGGAGGTGCAGAGGAGAGGAAGATGCTCCTTGCTGCATCTTGCCCACGAGGGAAGTGGCTCAGCATTTTGAACTCCTACCTGCTCTTCTCCTGAGCACAATGAAGAGGACAACGATGAAAATGATGGTAGCAATGAAACCCCCCACCAGTCCTTCCAATCCCGTTTGCTCTGCAGAGGAAGAGGAGGATCAGTGATGTTAAGTTGGCTGGAGCAGCTGAACAGCCAGCAAATTGTCGCAGTTAAATGAGCTCCCCCAGCAACTGACAGTGTGCACGTTCTTGTCAGGTACACAGATGTGATGCGACACACGTGAGCTAAAGCCACACAGACCCAGGGCCAGTTATACTGGCTGGACTGATGGGTTGTAACTTGTTAAACTATAGTATTGCATGCTTTTCCTTGCTGGGTCAGGAGGGGACACAGGAACAATCTCCCATCAGCAAGGAGAGTGAGAACCCAAAAAGCTCCAACGTGAGGAAGGATTTTTTGCTATAGTTCTCAAGCAGGATCAGTCTCCAGCCGAACATCAAGGTCTAGCTGGGCATCTAACTCCTTGGGGCATGGCTGTTTTATTGTGCCTGTCCAGCGGGATCCAGCCTGCATGCCACAAACTTTTGCTCTGTTGGTCCACTTTCAGTCATAAAATCTCTTTTCCTCTGAAGGAAATGAGATACTTGCTTCCCAAAAGCTTCAGGGAGTGAAAAAAAAGCTGAGGAAGTGAAAGGGAAAGGGAAGAGGATGATAGAGGGGATAGGTATGAGAGTACACCAGAAGGAAAGCATGGACAAACAGGCAGATGTGGTGTGACAGGTCTGGGCAGGATGAAGAACTTGCACCTCTGCCCCTGACACCTACCTGGTGCCTTAAGATGAACAGTCACAGAGATGGGCTCTGCCAGGGCCACATGTGAAACATGGCAGCTGTAGGTGGCTGGTGCCCGTGCTGTGGCTGAGTTGATGCTGAGGTAGGAGGTGATGCTGTAGGTGCCATCTTGGCTTTGTCGGTGGCTGGAGAAATGTGCATTTGAGAGAGGGATTTCTGCGTCATCTTCAGGAGTCTTCTGTGTCCAGCTCACCGAGACGTCCGGGGGTAATAGCCAGCAATGTTGCAGGTCAGTGTAGTCGTCACAACTCTCTCAAATGACACCACTGCTGGAATGACATGAACTCTTGGAGACTCTGGAGGAGATAAACAAGTAATTGACTTATTGTTAGCAGAGTACAAAAGTCCCCTTCCACAATGGAGAGATGAGGTGCCTGTGATGATGAATGTTGGGATTGATGGGATAAGGGTGCAGGGCAAAGTTTCAGTGCCTGGGGACATGGGACTCCTTTTGTCCCTGGGCATTTCCCTTCCTCACCGGCCACATGCAGCTGGATGGTGTGCTGGGTCTGGTGCAGATGGCTGGACACCAAACAGATTTATGTCCCTTCATCTCCTATGCCGACTCCTTGAAGGCTAAGCGATGCATCTCCACTCCCCAGCAGCTCCGCTACACCCACGTCGACTTTTGGCTGTGCTGCTGGGCCTGTGCTCCCCGCCTGGTACCAGAAAAGGCTACAGCCACTGCCTTGGTGCTGCCTCCTCCACTCCAGGGAGGACAGCGAGGAGCTGGGATCCAAGGCAAAGCGTCGCGTGTTTAGGGAAGGGTTGTGTGATGACGACTGAAATTCAACTAGACACAGAAACACAGGCAAACAGGGAGTTAAACAGATGTGGTTAAAGGAGGCACCCTTGGGTGGGAAGGGCTGGCAGTGAACTCCCCACCCAGAGGAACCACAGGCACCCTATTCGATGCCCCAGGGGCCGTGTAGACTGAAGAACTGGAGGAAGGCAGCCTGGTGGGATTAGCGGGGCAGGGAGACAGGTAGAACACCAAGTGCATGTCACGGTCTTGAAGGTGCTTGTCATCCTCAGGGTCTGGGGCATGGGAAACCCTGAGAGGAAGCAGTCTGGGGGGCAATCTGCATGACCTCTTTTTCTCTGAGCACCAGCTCCTGGCAGCCCTCAGGTCCTGGTGTGAGGTGGAGCATGGGACTCTTGGGGACGCAGGCTCCCCTCATGTCCCTTGGTGCTGTGGGGGCATCCTGGGCCACCTGGTCACCTGTGGTCAGCAACATCCCCTCCTTGCTCATAGGAATCCTCAGTTTTGGGTGCAGCATTGCATCATGCTGCTTGTCCTCCTCCCGGCTGCTGCAGCGGGGTCCTCTGAGCACCAGGGCGATACTGATCCCGCTGGAGAGCTGCAGGGTGGCCATGAACCAGAAGGTACGGCAGGGCCCCTCACCAGCCCGCTGGGAGCTGTATGGGGAGATTTCGCAGTGCACCTCCTCCCCATCACAGTCTGTGTGCAGCAGGGACTCTGTGTGTGGGATGGATACCGACTGGGCTGTGGGGATAGAAGAAAAGGTTTAACTGTCTGAATCCAGAAGGGGAAGGAAAGTGCAAGAGGATGAGAGATATTATGGAGAAGCATCATGCACTGTGGGGGTCAGTCAGAGCCCAGAAATGCCAGGCTAGGCTTAACAGATGAAGGCCTGCAAAGAATATGAGAGGTTTGTCATGACTATCTTACAACCCTCAGTCTGTTGGTTGTGTTTTATCCTGCCAGATTGCACAGAGTTCACACTGGGCAAAGGAAGCTGTTAGGAAAGAGAATAAACAGAACAGATTCCCTTCAGCTAGCTCAAGAAAGCAAGATGTATATGTGAAATGCTCAATAAAGACCTTCAATGTTAATTCTTTTTAGGCCTGAATCTGGAAACAAAGAGGACACTGAAGCATTCCAGGTAAGGACAGAAAGGGTGGCAGGAAGACAGGATTGGCTGGATGTAGAGACACACTATATCTATGCCTTTGATCATAGCATACGCTTAAGCATAGGCGTAAGCATCCTAGTGACTTATACGCTTTCCACAGACATCACTGGAAATTAACTCCATGTCTGCAATGCCTGACAGTAGTCTGGCTATAGTGTGCTTGAACTCACCCATGCCCAGTCCATCCACACCACCTGAAGGAAAGCTTGGACCCAGGCTAATGGATCCTGTTGGGCCTTCAGCTTCCCTTCTGAAAATGTCTCAGAGCCTCAAATAAGCTTGTACTGAAGCACATGCTCACCGATAAGCACTGTAGGCAGCAAACAGACCTTTGCTTGACTGTGTTTGCAAAGTTATACGCAAAGCAAGGGCTACAGAGGCTGACTGCAGGTTGGCATCCATGAGTGAAGTAAGGAGAGCCAAGTCGCACACAGACAGCCTTCTGCACAGGACAGCTCTGCTTCATGCCCACCATGCTTCCTGCTAGCAAAAAACACCCACATGATTAAAGATGTGAATGCTCTTTATGGGTGCAATAATACTATGTATAGTGGAATAATTCCTGAGTTGTGTTTGACAAAACATTTCTCAAGAGATAGGCAACCTAGGATAGCCTCAGTAGGAGAGAGGTGCCTCAAAGGGGTTTGCTAACACCTTCCACAAAGTTCCTTGCCTTAAGTTCCAGTTGCTGAATTCAGGAAATGATGCGTGAAACTTCAGTGGCCATTCAAAAATTAATTGTCTAAACTCAGTTAAAGAAAAATTTTCTAGAAGCCAGGTGCATGTAAGTGGTCAAAACCCTGGCGGCAGCTCTCCCACCCCAGCTCTCCCACTCACCTGAGGCTTCAAAGACAATGGGAGAAGAGGAGTCAGGATTTTCCTGTGGGATGTTGTACTCAGTTACATCATCCAAGTTCCCGTCATCTCTGATGCTGATACCCCTCAGCACCAGGGGAGCAGGATGCTCGGAGGACGAGCTGCTGAAGGCACGCAGCAAGCCTCTTACATCTTCCCCCAGGTAGGAGCAGCCCAGGGTGATATCCACCCTGCGAAATGGAGGCGCTGGCATGGGAGCTTTCGCTGGCCCTTTAGGGAGGGAAAAGAACCGATTGAACGCATGAACCCCACTGCAAACAAAGAGGAGAGCATGAGTTTTGCTGGGATGGGGGATAAACAATCAGGAGGCTGGGGGCTGGCTGCCACTTTGGGGTTGTTCTCCCAGCCCTGCGGGCGGGCAGCGGACCCCTCTAGCCCTGCCCCACACTCCTCTGGCAACAGCATGAACCTTTAGGAAGACCCTCGTTTTCACTGGGAGACCTTCACTGAAGGGGTGTAGGGG